GGGCCCTCGGTGCCGCCCCGAGCCCCATCGCACGCCCCAGGCTGGGCGCTGTCACCGCCAGCCCTGCGAAGCAGAGCAGGACATTTGTCCCTGCAAATTCCCGTCCACCAGACAGGCCGGGGTGAGCAGGGCTTTCTCTGAGCTGCTGCGTCTCGTCTTCCCCGTTGCAGACGGGGTTGTATCTTAGTGCTCCTAGCACATCAGTCTTAAAGGCATTATTTGGCTTTTTATTGGTGGCTTTTTCTATTTTTTATCATTATTGTTGTTGTTATTTTTTATAATTATTATGAAATAATAATAATAATTTAAACTCTGGCTATTAGTTTATTTCAATAAGGAGGAGCAGTGGTTTCTGCCTCCTGCTTCCTTTAGGTGGAGCGAGCTGCCCAGCTCAGGGCTTGGTTGCCTTTCCAGATCTTAAATGACCCAGTATGTGAAATATGTTTGGGATTTGTTACCGGTAGTTAGGGGCTACCCAGCCAATTTTAGCCTCACTGAGTGAGAGCACATATGCAAGCTGTACATGTGCTTTCCAAATGCTTTCATAAATCAAACTGGGGGGGGTATCAAAACCAGACCCTTCCTGCATTGTTTCATGTTAAGGAAACTCAGGTTGCAAGTGCAACAGTCCATCCATTTGTGAGAATAAGATAGTATTTTTGGTTTTAAGGGGGAGATGTTTTTAGCTAATGTAAAAGGAAAAAAACCCAACTATGTTGGACCTTACAAAACCTTGAAAAAATGTTCATGTATTATCTTAATAAAACCTATTTCCAGATGTCAAAAGGCTCAAAAGCACGTTAGACTCTGAGCAATGCTCTTTAAAAAGAAATGCTGAGTTGCTAAAGCTTCAAAATTGTAAAATCAGAAAAAGAAAGAACTGAGAGAAAATTAATTTGTCCATCCCGCTCCCCACAGGAGCCTGTGCCGGCACCTCTCCAGCCCCACGGCCCTGGAGCAGCCAGTGGTGAAGTGTGGAAAGATGCCTTCAGGGATGGCAAACAGCGATGGAGGGGTCGAAATTAAGTAGAGTATCTGCTTTGCAGATAATTTTGACCTAAAAGGGGACTAATAATTGAAGATAATACAGAAGGAAGGCCGAGAAGGAGAGAGCGAGAACAGGCTGCGCTAAGGCAGAGCGTGTGTTTGTTTACGAAGCCAGCGGCCAGTTTCTGTTTACTCCCTGGAAGTGAAAACTCAGCTGGCGTAAAGCTTCAGTGGAAAGAGGATTTGCCCCAGAGAGGTACCTAAAAATAAACGTGAGTTCTGCGTAGAGAAGCAGAGGCTGTGAGGCTGGTTGTACGAAATGCTTTACTAGTGTTTGGAGAAGGACTGCTGCAGCAGAAAACAATGTTTATTAATAAAGCCAGAGCGCTATTTTAAACTACTTCGTCAACAGGAAAAGTACCCTTCGCAGCCAGCCGCTGGGGGTGGCTCAGGACCCCGCTTGCGGCCACGCGCCGTCCCTGCCTCTCCTCCGCTCCTGTCAGAGCGGGTGGGAGCCAGCTCGGCACTGAGCCACGGTCCCACCGCGCTTGGCCACAGCGATGCGCATTTTGTCCCTCGTGACAGGGCCTTCAAGGTGAAAAATGGCTTCATTAAAAGCGAAAAGGGAATCGGTGCCTTGCACACAGCAGCCCTCCGAGCCCCTGTCATCAGGAAAGAGGGTGTTGCCTGGTGTCGCACGCCTCAACTCGTCAGGGCGCCACGTTAACCGTCCCGTGAGGAGCAAGAAGAGCCATTTCCCTGCGAGAGCGGGGCGGGCCTGGCCTGCTCCCAGGAGGGAGCAAAACGAGGC